TAGAGGGTCTGAACTCCGAGCTGTGGGCTGAAACGAGGGCCGTCTTTAAGTATTGAGGCCTGGTTGAGCCACTCCCCTACCGGACCTAGTAAGGCTGATGATCTGTGTTTGACGACTCGACTGTCCCGAGGGATACGAACCCCTCCAAGGACCGGTACAGACCGGCGGGCTGCTCGGTGTGGCACAGTAGGCCGGAACGGCTGAGTTGTGGGCTGAAATCGCCAGGAAGGACCAAGCTGATCACGTCGTCCTGTCTGCGACGTTAAAGAATTCTTGAGGAGTTACGGGGGATCTCCTTAAATGCCTCCGGATCAGTTGCTGGTTCTGTAGTGACAGCCTTAGAGTAGTCTTGGGTTAGTGACCATAGTTGACAGGGTCTTACCCTGTGGTCCTTAGAGAGTCAGTCAGTAGGTCGGTGTGTCCGGGTAGGTCTACGTGGTGAGGAGTGGGACCCCTGTCGTGCACCAACACCACGATGGACGACTACTCGATGTATGGGTTGCTGGTTGGGTTCTCCCTCTAGGGGACCCTCTGGCGTCTCCTCTTTCCTCTGGGATTTTGGCATACCTTTGCGTGTAGAGTAGGGCCCACTCGAGGTGGTACCGCCACCCAACCATACACGAAGGAGGAGGAGGAGAAGATGGTCGCCATCCTGCAGGAGAGGAAGGAGAAGAAGGAGGCCAAGAAGAAGGCCTTGAAAGAGGAACACGCGGCCAAACTAAAGAAGATGGAAGAAGAGATGGCCAGGGAGAAAGAGAGGTTGAAAAAGGAAGAAGAAGAGAAGCTGAAGGAGGTGGATGAAGAAGAGGAAGGACCGCCACTGCAAAAGAGTGGGCAGCACAGCGGCAGCAGCAGTGATGAGATGGAGAAGAAGATTTCGGAGTGGGTCGCCAACTTATCCCTGGGTGAGGAGAAAGAGGTTGCTATGTACATCCCCAAGGATGAGCAAGAAACCGCCATGAAGAAATGGGAAGCAGAAGAAGATGTTCTGACGCGGCGGGCGATGGAGGATGAACAGAGGATGGCGTGGAAGCTCGCAGTGATGAGGGAGAAGAAGAGAAGAGTGGAGGCGGCGAATGCAGCAATGCAAGAACTAGCGGAGGKGAGGACTGCCTTAACAACACAATTGACTCCGCAAGTAGATCTCCAACGCAAAGTGGAGATCATCGCCCAGAGCGTTGCCCGGTTAGTTAAAGTGCAAGAAAAGCACTATGAGTTTAGTCACAGGCAGGAGATATCTGTGTGTTCGATGCGAACATTAAGGCCTATGTGCACTTGCAACAGGTCTCCCCTCGCCTCGCAGGGAGCCAGTCAAAGTCAAATTCCCTGATTCGTACAGTGGGAAAAGGGATGAGAACTTTGACAACTGGGAAGCTAACGTTAAGACCTATGTGCACTTGCAACAGGTCTCCCCTCGCCTCGCAGGGAGCCAGTCAAAGTCAAATTCCCTGATTCGTACAGTGGGAAAAGGGATGAGAACTTTGACAACTGGGAAGCTAACGTTAAGACCTATGTGCACTTGCAACAGGTCTCCCCTCGCCTCGCAGGGAGCCAGTCAAAGTCAAATTCCCTGATTCGTACAGTGGGAAAAGGGATGAGAACTTTGACAACTGGGAAGCTAACGTTAAGACCTATGTGCACTTGCAACAGGTCTCCCCTCGCCTCGCAGGGAGCCAGTCAAAGTCAAATTCCCTGATTCGTACAGTGGGAAAAGGGATGAGAACTTTGACAACTGGGAAGCTAACGTTAAGACCTATGTGCACTTGCAACAGGTCTCCCCTCGCCTCGCAGGGAGCCAGTCAAAGTCAAATTCCCTGATTCGTACAGTGGGAAAAGGGATGAGAACTTTGACAACTGGGAAGCTAACGTTAAGACCTATGTGCACTTGCAACAGGTCTCCCCTCGCCTCGCAGGGAGCCAGTCAAAGTCAAATTCCCTGATTCGTACAGTGGGAAAAGGGATGAGAACTTTGACAACTGGGAAGCTAACGTTAAGACCTATGTGCACTTGCAACAGGTCTCCCCTCGCCTCGCAGGGAGCCAGTCAAAGTCAAATTCCCTGATTCGTACAGTGGGAAAAGGGATGAGAACTTTGACAACTGGGAAGCTAACGTTAAGACCTATGTGCACTTGCAACAGGTCTCCCCTCGCCTCGCAGGGAGCCAGTCAAAGTCAAATTCCCTGATTCGTACAGTGGGAAAAGGGATGAGAACTTTGACAACTGGGAAGCTAACGTTAAGACCTATGTGCACTTGCAACAGGTCTCCCCTCGCCTCGCAGGGAGCCAGTCAAAGTCAAATTCCCTGATTCGTACAGTGGGAAAAGGGATGAGAACTTTGACAACTGGGAAGCTAACGTTAAGACCTATGTGCACTTGCAACAGGTCTCCCCGGATCAGCAGGTTCTGATTGCGATCCACGAGCTGAGAGATGAGGCCGCCAGTTTTACAAGGTCCCTAGTTCGCGCTGCCAACTGTAGTGATGATCCCGTTGCGTACTCCTTATTTACGTCCCTCACCGAATTTCTGAAGTTGCTGCGCGAGCGATTTGCTGATGCCGATCGCAGTGTCAAGGCCTCAGACAAGCTCCAAACCATCCATTCTCGTAAATGGAAGAGTGTCAGGGCACTCAAGGGTACAATGGATGAGTTGGTGGCCGTCCCTGACCACGGGGTCACAGAGGGCCAATTGGTCAACCTCTTTTACCGGGCTATGCCCGAAGCCTTTCGAGGGCAGTTCTTCGCGAAGAGCGAAGATCCTGCCACCACTTACGATTCCCTTAGCCGTGAAGTGGTGGCTTTTGAAGCGAAGTCCGTATCCCTGTCTACCTTCTGGCACAAGGACTTGGACAGGGGAAAGCAATGGAAAGGCCGCACTATCTCAGGGCAGGTAAAGACTAAGGACAGCCTTGTCCTGACTTTAGATGAAGGTAGTGTGGATGAGATCCCCTACGATCAGATTGAGTGGGGGCTAGAGGAGGAGGACAGCGGTGTGGGCCAGGGGAGATCCTACGCTGTTGTCGCGGCTGGAGGGAGGCCGCAAGGAGGAAGAGGCCAGGACCAAGGGGGCCGGGCCTCAGGGAACCGATTCCAGGGCGATCAGGGGGTTGGCGGCAAAGGAGGAAACCGCCAAGCGGGAGGCAAGGGTCAAGGTCCCTCGCAAAACCGTCCTAGGAATAGGTCTCCCTATGGAGTAGGAGGATGGCACCCAGGTCTACCTCAGGGTAGGCCGCGGGAATCTTTGGGTCTAGACCAGGCTTTATGGCAACAACGATTGAATCGGGGCCAGTGCATTTTCTGCGATGACCCGGGGCATATCATCAAATATTGTCCTAAGTATCGAGAGACCCGAACGGCTGCTCGAGAGCCAAAAGGCAGCCGCCGGTAGGGGTAGCAACTGCCCCTACCACTAGGCCATGTGGGGAAAATAGCGCTAGCCGGCAGGAGACTCCCACACCACATGTGCCTACGGCAGAGGTTGCAGGCCGGTGTCTAGACAGCTGTCCCTAGACTGCTTGTGTTAGAGTTTCGCTAGACACCTTCCTCACAGGCGTGGCGGAAGAGTTAAATGAGAGGAGGCCCGCCTGGGCCAAGATGAAGAAGGAGAATAAAGGGCAACTGATTTTATTAGATGCAGAGATTTTTAGAAGTAGAGTAGGGGCCCTNCAAGATGAAGAAGGAGAATAAAGGGCAACTGATTTTATTAGATGCAGAGATTTTTAGAAGTAGAGTAGGGGCCCTAGTAGACTCAGGGGCCACCCGCAACTATATTAGTAAGCAAGCGCTGCAAAAGTTGAGGCTGGGACTTAAGGTCCAGAAACTGACAGACCCCATAGTTAGTATCCTCGCGGACAATCGTACCATGGTTGTAGAGGATTACATAGAGGGAGTTCAGGCGTATTTCCGCCTAGAGAAAGATGGGAAGGTGGAGAAGGTCCTCCACTCCCTGACTCTCCTCGTAGAGGACAGCCTCCCGTTTGATATAGTACTGGGAATGGATTGGGGAGAGGCAGCCGGGGTAACGCTCCATCTGAAGGAGCACGAATGCAGACTCCCTAGTTCTGCAGGCGAGGCTAAGACTGCCCGCCTGTTTCATGTGTCAGGAGTAGAGAATTCCTTGGCACATTGCTGCCTTAGTGCCCCTGCGTTCGCCAGATTGGTGAAGAAGGAGAAATTAGAGGAACAGGTCTTTGTTGCCTATGTTAGGCCCGTCACTAAGCCTACGGAAGAGAAGCCGATGGACCCTGCGATTGCCAAGTTGCTGGAAGAGTTTAAGGATTTGACTGAGCCGCCGACAAGCACGGTGCCGCGGCCCATCCAGCACCGTATTGAGATAGAGCTGTCCCCGCGGGAGTTAGAGGAGCTGCGGAAACAGTTGGACGAGCTCCTTGAAAAGGGTTGGATTAGGCCCAGTTCGTCTCCTTTTGGAGCCCCTGTTCTCTTTGTACCTAAGAAGGAGGGAGAGCTAAGGATGTGTATAGACTATAGGGGTCTGAATGCCATTACAGTGAAGAATGTTGAGCCACTGCCTAGGATAGACGATCTCTTAGATCGAGTGCAGGGGGGCGAAGTATTTCTCCAAGATAGATTTGAAGTCCGGATATCATCAGATAGAGGTACATCCTGATGATCAGTATAAGACGGTCTTCCGGACTAGATATGGGCACTACGAGTTCATAGTGATGCCCTTTGGACTAACCAATGCGCCAGCTACGTTCCAGCGCTGTATGAACGATTTGTTTAGGCCGTGGTTAGACATGTTTGTTGTAGTTTATCTAGATGACATTCTAGTGTTTAGCAGGACCCTCGAAGAGCATCAGGGTCATCTCAGGCAGGTCTTGGAGAAGTTGAGGGAAGCTAACTTCAAGATCAATGCAAAGAAGTACGATTGGGCAAAGACCCAAGTTCTGTACCTAGGCCACGTCTTAGACGGAGACGGCGTTAAGCCAGAAGATAGCAAGATCACAGCGATTAGAGATTGGCCCACGCCACGTACGCTGACAGAGTTGCGCTCGTTCCTGGGCCTAGCTAACTACTATAGGAAGTTCGTGAGGAACTTCTCCACCATCGTTGCGCCCCTTCGCCGATTGCTGAGAAAAGAGACAATCTGGAAGTGGGACAAGGACTGCACGACTGCCATGAAGAAGCTAAAGCAGGCATTGATAGAGTATCTAGTCCTTAAGGTCGCCGATCCGTCCTTGCCTTTTGTCGTTACTACGGATGCTAGCCAGTACGGCATAGGCGCAATGTTATAGCAAGACGATGGCAATGGCTATAGACCCGTAGAGTTCATGTCCGCCAGGATGCCTTCAGAGAAGGTCGCGACATCTACCTATGAAAGGGAACTCTATGCTCTCAGGCAAGCCTTAGACCATTGGAAGCACTACTTGCTTGGGAGGCACTTCAAAGTCTATTCTGACCATGAGCGATGGTTAAAGACGCAAGCCAAGATGACACCTAAGCTTACTAGGTGGGCCGCAGAGATAGATCAGTATGACTTTGAGCTCAAGCCTGTCAAAGGGAAGTACAACGTAGTCGCGGATGCTCTGAGTAGGAGAGCGGATTACTTTGGGGCAATAGTACATTACCTCGATATAGGGAAGGACCTGCAGCAGAGGGTTAGAGAAGCTTACGCGCAGGACCCTATCTATAGTGAGCTCCTTAAGAAAGTCAAGGAGGCCCCAGAGACTGCACCGAATTACCACACTACCGAAGGGTTGCTTTTTTAGAAGACTAATGTGTCTGACCGCCTGTGCATCCCCAATAGCGAAGAGATTCGTAGTCTGATTCTGGGCGAATGCCATGACACAGAGGGTCATTTTGGTTGGCAAAAGACTTTAGCCAATCTTATGCGTGCGTATACCTGGCCAGGGATGAAGAATGACTGCGTAGAGTATGTTCGCAGTTGCAAAGTCTGCCAGCGTAATAAGAGTTCTACGCGCGCCCCGCTAGGTCTTCTCAGACCCTTGCCCATTCCGGATCAGCCGGGAGACTCAGTGTCAATCGATTTCATGGACACTCAAGTCAAGAGCAAGCATGGCAAGAGCCAAGTCATGGTCATAGTTGACCGCTTTAGCAAGTACGCAGTTTTTGTTCCTTTGCCTTCAGAGGCGCGTACTGATTTAGTCATACAGAGGTTCTTTGACTGTTGGGTTAGTGAGAACGGAATCCCGCTGTCAATAGTTAGTGATAGAGATAGTCGTTTCACCAGCCAGAACTGGCAAGAACTCATGGGAGTGTATGGATCCAAGTTGTTGATGTCGTCCGRCCGTCATCCAGAGACTAACGGTCAGACGGAGCAAATGAACAAGATCCTACAGCAAGTTCTGCGCATGTATATTAGGCCGGATCAGATTAACTGGGATGAGATGTTGCCCAAAGTAGCTAGTGCGTACAATAATAGCATGCATCTG